GTCTAATACTCTGTATGAACATTCAGTGCCACTTATAATGAGTTATCCTCTAGATTTCACTGGGAAACGTTCAAGGGTGTGGACACTATCCACCCAAACGCGGGTTGTCTGTTGAGTTTCATCATCCTTAGGGCGTTTTGCTTTTGATCATGCTTAAATGGCCTTTTTCTATTAAACGAATCTCCCGCATGAAATATTCCGATGCGACCATGTTGCGGAAACACGCCTCCCGCATTTCACAAATGGATTAATTGATTATTAGATTTTCTTTAACGCCTCCAGTTCAACCTGGTTTCTATGAAGCAAAGGCCGTCGCTTCATAACACAGCAGCCAAAAGGACCGATGATGCTGAGTAACCCTCACTGCAGTTGTTCCAGAGGCTGTAATAAAAACTGCCTGCATGGGGTACACGGCTGTTTAGGCTGGGCTGAACGAATAAAGACAAAAAGGCTTTGCCATTTGTTCTTTCTGCAAATGACTCAGGGATGATGAGCCAAAAAAACGGGCCGGTTCACCAGGAGAAATGCGGGTGGGGAACGGAATTTAAAGAATAAAATGGGGAAAAATCAACCCAACAAATCACATCACACCGGTACCATGTGGTTCGCTGTTCTGCCCGAGCACAACCTGTTCTCTGGGGAATGCGCATAAATTAATGTGCTCTCTCCCGCCTAGTCTTCGTGACATCCATGTGCATTATTTCATCATCTACTGCCCAGCCACATTCTGCGCACTGGTACCTCTATCAGCCTCACGCACACTATGCCATGCCTTATCATAAACCCAAACCCCAGTAAGGATGCTGCTGCTGAGGGTACTCACCTGTGCGGAATAACACTCGTCCTTTATTGAAACGATGCGTCTCAAGGAATGAAATTGTGAGAGGACATACACGGGGCAGACATCATCACTTGCTTCTCTGTCATCCAATCAGGCCGGTGTGTATTGCCTCAGACTCCGCGCTTTGACTCCTTGTAATGACCGATGCATGACACGCACAAAGGGGTGCTGCTCTCCGATGCACCCACATAATCTCGTTTTCTCACTTGTTATTTATGCCACATTTCACCACAAACAAATTACATGCCTCTGATATATGGCCCTGTATAAAATACATGTTGCCATGTTCAAGATTTAAAGTGAAACAAGCGTCTTTGTTTTCTGTACCTACCTTGTTTTTAATTTTGGTACGATCCACTACTAGACAAATGGGCTGGCTTATGGATGGATGCAATGTGCCTCTGTTTATAAACGATCATTTCCTCCTCTGGATATTTGTTCATCTGGGCATTACGCCGGCTTATATTTACAGTGTTTTCATAACGGAAAACAGACTGGAGTTACGATTTTAACCAGTAAAAACTGAGATTTTAATCAAGGTCGGCATGGTGCGCGTCATCCACGGCGTAATCTTCGAGGCTACTGCTGCACAAATAAAAAAAATAAATATATAGCCTATTATAAATCTGTTTTGTGACAGATATGTTTTTAAATAGGTGGTCAATAGCCTTTATATCGGTAGAATTTAGATAATGCCGAGATCCATTATGTGGTAGTACAATTACTCGAGCACTGTAAGTGGCTCAGGAGGTAGAGCGGGTCGTTTCCTAACCGGAGGATTAACGGTTCGATTCCCAGCTTCTCCAGTCAACATGGCGATGTGTTCTTGAGCAAGACACCGAACCCCGGGTTGTCACCGGCTTGCGAGTGTGAATGTCCGAATAATGTCAAAGCGTTTTGAATGTGCTGCAAAAGCACTATACGAGTATAAGACCATAACCGATCTGTTTTGAGGTAGGCTATCTGTACTGGAGTATTTTCATCTTCTGCTACATTACACTTTGACTTCATTACATTTTAGGGGTAAATGGTGTACTTTTACTCCAACAAATGTTTTGATAACGTTACTTACCAGTTAGTTTTCAGAATCAGATTACATAGGCATATTATCATAAGGCAATAGCTCCACCTTTACCAGCTTTAAATGTGACGTACACAATAATGCATCAGTGATTATAATCCAATAATGTTTATATTCATTCATGTTAAATGCGCATTTTGAAGATTGAGTACTTTTACTTTTGGTAATTTAAGTATATTTTGATGCGTGTGCCTTTGTACTTTAGCAACATTTTGAATGTAGGGCTCTGACTTGTTGACCTGTCCAGAATACTACTTACACCTGGTTTTCATCAGTAATAATAATAATACATTAGCATTTTGGATAATAATAATGCATGGCAAGTACTTTTACTTTCATAGTTTAAGTACATTTTGTTGATAATGCTTCTGAACATTTAGTCAGTTAAAGTATTTAATGCAGGTCCTCCACCTACTGGATCATGTGACGGCACCCCATGATCCAGTTCTCTGTTGCTTGGGGTGTGAAAATCTCTGACAACTGTTAAACTGTGCACAGAAAGCTTTGGTTAAGGTTAATGCTTATGGACACCGCTGCACCGCTCTGTGTTTAGAGTTTCACAGTGTCACATGTTTAGCAAGAAAACTTGAACCCAGTCAAAGATCATGATAAAGCTGTCTGAGAGGAATTGCATTTAAAGTGACATAATCTGAATTTCATTTATCAGCTGAGAGGAGTTTACCTTTGCTCCATTTTGAAGGCTAAATCTTCTATAGAAGAGGAGAATCATTGTCCTGTGTTCCTTTTTTCCTGAAAAGCTGATTTTTCTGGCTATTTCACTGAGATGAAATTCATGTGTAGATTGGAAAGAAGAGCTTGATGCTGCCCACATCTTTTTCCTGAGCTGCTGCAGTCTGAGTAAATATCCACCCAGTATTTCAGGTGCATCAAGGGCATCATCATACAAACCTCACAGTAGTTGTCAGCAGGACTTTGCCAGGCAGAAATGTGTGTGTGAGAGAGTGCTCACATAAGTCCTGTTACTTTCAGTTCATAGCACTTACACAGTTCTTTACAGCTCTCCTCTGATGGAGGATGAAGTGTCTCTGACACTTTGGTGCATAGCTCTGTACTCCTAACCCGAACACAGCTCTTCATACCCACTGTACAGAATCTCCAGTGCAGTTTCTTTTCTCTGCTGGAGCCCAACTAGAGCAGACTTATTGATTGTTGCTAATAGCCTCCATCTCATTAGCAGGGCCACACAGAAACCCTAAAAGCAATGAAAGAAAACTGTGCTAATTGTTTTAGTGCATGTGTATTTTGTTTGGCTGATGACAGCATAGGTCACCTATAAATTATTTAGGTAATTGATGGCACCCATTCAAAAACCAAGCGAGGTATTATCACTGCATGATCACCATCTGTTCAGAGAATAACGCTGTGGATTGAAAAGCTGTTTAAAAAAATGTTCTTTTCATCCTTAGCCCCTTTCAGAGTGTGTTATAAATATCAGTATTGTATGTGGTAGCAAACGTGTCTTTAGACAACCTACAGGAGATAAATAAGACATAACAAAGCTAAGAGTATAAAGCCAGGCAACTTACTTCCTTGTACTGGCACAGCATTGCTTTGCTAATGTCAGCATGCTAACAGTGACATTATAACATGCTGATGTTTTAGCAGGCATAATATTACATTTCACCAACTTTCTTTAGTGTTAGCATGCTAACATTAGCTAATTAGCTAATGTTAATTAGCACTAAATACAAATTGCAGTGAATGGAAATGTCATTCATTTTTGTTTTTGTTTTTAAACCAAAGTACTGGACAAATGGAAATACTGATTTGATAAATGTACTAGAGCAAAACTCTCTTTTAAAATGACAGTTGTCAACCTACTGGTGGTGCTAGATGAAAAGTCAAGGAATCACCAAA